TCTCGTGTTTCACACCCTCCAGCTGTCTGGGTTTCAGGTACTGATTTTTTCTTTTTATTGAGGTAAAATATACATAACAGGAGATTTACCATTTTGACCATTTTTAAGTGTACATTTCAGTGGCATTCAGTACTCTCACACTGTTGTGCAGATCCCCACCATCCATTTCCAGAACTCTTTTCATCTTGCAAAACTGAAGCCCTGTCCCCATCAAATACTCACTCCCCCTTCCCCTTCCCCAACCCCTGGCACCCACCACTCTGCTTTCTGTCTGAATTTGGCTGCTCTGGTACCTTCCTATGAGTGGAATCATACAGTCTGTCCTTTTGTATCTGGCCTATTTCATTTAGCAAAGTATCTTCCAGATTCATCCATGTTGTAGCAGGGGACATAATCTGCTTCCTTTTTAAGGTTGAATAATATTTCATCGTATGGCTAGACCACGTTGTGTTTAGCCACTCACCTGTTGATGGACACATGGGGTGCTCCCACCTTTTGGCTATTGTGAATAATGCTGCTATGAATATGGGTGTACAAATAACTGATCGAGTCGCTGCTTTCATTTCTTTTGGGTTTTTACCCAGAAATGGAATTGCTCAATCATACAGTGATTCTATGTTTAATTTTCTGAGGACCTGCCATACCATTAGCCACTATTTTTTTTACCCACTGCTTCTGCCCTGTCTAGTTTCTGGGCCTCTCCTGAGGCATGCCAGGACTCTGCCCACAAACAGACACACAGCTGCTGACATCTCAGATTTGTCTGTCCTAATGAGTGCTGCTTGGGTGGCTCTGGGGTGAACCTGTACTCCTTTGCATGTATGAGCCCCAGCTCGCCTCAGCCTTTGCAACATCTGCTTGATTTGCATTCTCATCCTTAGGCTGGAACCGGAGTCCAGCTCATGTATTTAGTGCCAAGGGCCCTGCATGGCCCTCAGAGCGCCCTCCTCCTGGACACTCAGTGCTCATCACTCTGCTCATCACGACCTGTGGGGCCTTTGTGGTAAGACAGGTTCCTCTGCTGGGGCCAGGGGAAAGGGAAGGAGGCTGGGAGTGGGTGGTGCCCACTGAGCAAATCACACTGGCTTAGGGCATTTGGGGTCAGTGACTACAGGCCCCATGTAAATTATCTGAACAGAGGTTAGGGGGTATGAGTTACAGTCAGACATCAGGGTGTGTAAAGTTCCCAGGGATCAGAGGGATTAGGGCCCTTCTGATCTAAAGAAGAGCCCCCAACTGGGAACAGGGCTGGCAAGAGTGAAATAGGGCTTTGGGACTATAGCCCAGCAGGCTCCAGTCTCCATGGGAGAACAGATGCAAATCAGGGTCAAGGGCACGCCCACTGGTTTGGCCTGGGTGTGGGAAGAAACAACTACAACCTACGGTTGTGCCCCTGGCATACCCAAAGCCATTGGATACCAGGCTTCGGGCCAATAGCTTCTGTCTGCTGGGGCAGGACAGCCCCCTGGACCTCTGCGAGGCCTGCCCGGAGCCAGTTCAGGAGGCGAGTATTGGCAGCTTCACACCCGTAAGCTGGGAGGGGTTAGTGAGGTGGGGTCTGACAGGATACCGCCAACTGGTTTGAAGCCCCTCTTCATCCCCACTGTGCCCAGTGATGACAGTGACACCTCCAGTGACTGAATACCTCTGATGCCAGGAATGGCGAGTTTGCAGGGCCTGCCCTGAGCTTGCGCTAGAGACTGCAGGCCCCCTCCCTGGGAACTGGCAGGCGGCCTAGTTAGCAACCCTTTCCTACTGGGTCCCTCCTTTCCCAAGGAAGGACCAATTCTGTCAGCCCTGGCAGCCTTTTAGAGTCACCCAGGAAGTTCTGAAGAAATGCTTTTACCTGGGCCCCTGCCCCTAGAGATTCTGATTTTATTGGGCTGGGGGAGGGACTTTGTATTGCTTTTTTAAAAAAGCAGAGTTTATGACCCAGTAGACCAGGTGTAGGGCCCAGGCGTTTGCATTTCTGACACACTCTCAGGTAAAGCTGAAGCTCTGGCTAGGAGACCCACACTTTGAAAGCCACTGATCTGGGCCCATAACACTCCTTAATTCTTGAATTTAGGGTGACTGAGGGAAATGGAAGTAGACTGTGTTTACTGATAACAGTTTTATTCTTTGACACCCTCTTTGAAAGAACTGCCACTCACTTCTGAGTATCATCCAGCAGCCGGCCCACAGTAGGGACTAATAAATGACCCTTGCCCTGTGCACACAATGGAAAATCACCGTGTAAGGACCTTCCACCCAACTATTCCTTAACCCATCCCCTGAAAAAAATAATTGAATAGTTAAAAGAAATGTTTTGTTAAAAGGAATCAAATTTTAAAAAAAAGGTATCAAATTTTTCTCACTATAAGGATTTGCTCATTGATTTGAAAAGCCTGCATATTAGTAATGTGTTTATTTCTAAATTAAAGCAGTTTCTTAATGATGTGATATTTCGATAATTGAGTTCCCCAAAGGCAGAAATGAAGCAGCCAAACGGAGACCCTGAATCACTGTCCTTTGTCCCCATGGCTGGGAGGCCAGAACGTTCAGAGGTTACATTCACCATCAACAAAGAGCATTTAGACTCTAGTTTTAGAAATAAGTGACTCATCTTTGGGTCATTTTCTTGTCTATCTTCTTTAGCAGCTCTCCCCTCTTCCCTAAGCATGAGGAACTGCAGAAAACACCCTTACTCTTCTTTATCTCAATGCACAAAGAACCAAATGTTGCTGATCAGGGAACCTGACTTACTGTTATTAAGGAGGACATCCTACAATTTAGCGGAGCAAGATTTCTAAGCAAAGTAGAAAGTCAAATGATTTCAGAGTTTGCTTCCCACCTACAATTAACTACGTCACAGCTATATAGGAAGAGGGAAAAATGAAATCACTCCAAAGCAGGGGCACTTGATATCATCTGTGGCCAAAAAATAAACATGTTACTTTTCCTTTTTAAAAGGTGGAGCTGTAGATCTAAGAGGAACAGGTAGGTCTTAGATATGAGAGAAAAATGAAAAAAATCTGACCAGATAGTAGCCAAAGGCTGATTTCTCAGGCTTACTTATTTTATTTAACATTTGCACAAAATAGAAAGAGAAATGGAATGATCTTTCTATCTAAAGGCCATGATCTGCCTTCAGTTTGTGCAGAGGCCTTCTTTGGGATTACATACAACCCATAAAGATTCCCATTTGCTCCTGCGAGGTTTGCAGATTTTTTAAGGCCCAGGACTGTTTCAGGTCTGTAGGACTTCCAAATTTGGCAAATGGAAAATTCTCATAGTGGACTCTGACCTTGGTAGGATGTTGAGCAGGGAGAGACTATTTCAGAGTGGATTATGTTTTAAGTGTCCACAGTATGCAAGAAAGGAAGGCTTTTCAGGAAAACATCTTAATATGGCATGGCCCTTCCGTTCTGTCTTATGAACCCCTGCACCAGAGGGATTCATTTCTCATTGAATGGGCTGGATACTCACCCTGATCTTGCCCGTATGTTTGTATAAAATAGTTATGGTAAAGATGATAGATAAACAGATAGTTATAAAGACAGACAGATGATATTTGACACAAAGATGAGAAAGAAAAATAATCTATGTCCCCCGTACATCAGTTAGGATACTTTAGAGTTTTGTTACTCCAAGTGTCCTCCAAGGGCTCCTGTTTCAGCTCTACTTGAGAGCTTGTTAGAAAAGCAGATTCTCAGGCCCTGCCCCAGACCTGCTGAATCAGAATCTTCATTTGTCAAGATTCTCAGGTGATCCCTTCATACCCTGAAGTTTGAGAAATGCTGTTTTGGAACACAACAGCATAGAATAGCCATTTTCAATAACTTTTGTTTTCAGTTACAGAAATCCTTGAATGAAATCAAATGCAGTCTTACATGTAAACATAAGAAACGTGGTGGAAATGGAACTCCTCTGGTGTGGGGCTCAAGTCTTCCCTGTCCAGGGAGGCACCTCACATTGCCACTACCTTTAGCAGCAGCTGTTTGACTTCCAAGGGGAGTGTGCCCGAACTCCTGCTTGTCTGGAGAACACAGGCCACCACTTTGAGTCTTCTGAGCAACATTTAAGCCCTGGCATATCATGGGTGCTCAGGAAATCTCAGATGATCATTAACGATTGATTTTAAAGAAAAATTATGATCAGAAGTAGAGCTTCTGTTCCACAGAAGGACATGGGGAGAAATCAGAACAGGGAAATAGCATACATAATATGAGAGGACAAGATAAAGAGTCAGAGAAATGGAAGTGCCTCTATAGTTAGGGCTGCCAGATAAAATATACGACACCCAGTGAAATTTGAATTTCAGAAAACAACACAAAGACATACTAAAGAACTATTTTTATTTTCTGAAATTCAAATTTCACTGGGCCTCATAATGTTTGCATTTGCTGAACCTGGCAATCCTGCTTCCTCTCTTAAGGATACTTTTCTCAGCAGCTGGGGCCCCAACAATCTGACTCCAGTTTAGACCCCAAATTCCCTACAGAGAGTGCTCTGGAGTCTGACTACCGGGTTCAAATCCAGGGTCTGCCAAAGGTGGCTGTGCTGCTCTGGGCAAACGATCTAATCTCTCGGTTCTCCTTTCCTCCTCTATAAAGTGGAGATGCACATGAAAACCTGCCTCACAGGGTGGTTTGGGGTTTAAAGGAAAAATTTTATCTGTCAAGGAAAGCATGGTGTCCTGCACAAAGTGGTTGCTCATTGAATAAACACGTTTTAAAAAGTTGTCTGTCAGGTCAGGGTCTCCTGGATCTCAGCAACTTCTTTTCTGTCTGAATTTGCTCCTGGTCATTTTCTTGGGAAGCTGAGATCAACTGGGAGAGGGAGGTGGTGTCTGAAAAACCACAGCCGCTTTCCTTCCCCTCCCGCGGGTTCTGGCCTGGAGCAGCCTAGTCGGTCTGCTTCCTTCCGCCCACTCCCTGAGGGCCGGCTCTCGGGATGCGCTGGGGAAGGGTGGGGGTGGGGGTAAAATGTGTCACTTGATATTTGCTCCATCACCCTGGCTGACCGGGTTAATTCACTCCAGGACGGAAGGAAGCACACTTTGGGGACCGGACCTCTTTTGGCAGAACTTTGTGGCCTTACATCTTAGCAAACAGGGAGCACGATCTTGCTCTTTCACGCTTAGCTGGAGCAATGGGAGGTCCAACAGCCTGGCAAGGGGCACAAGCCCTAGGACAGTGACATCTTCTATCCCAAGACCACAAATTCTCAAAAAGCTGCCAAGTACTGGAGCCAGTATGCTGGTATGTGTTACTTCTTCCTCTTAAGTCTCTCTCCTTTTCTCTCAGCTTTTATTCCCATTTTCCTTTCCATGAACTCCAAGATCTGAGACTAGATTCCAGTAATGGACTGTTCCTGAACATTAAATAATGCAAGAAAGCCAAGGTATCTAGTGGGGTGGGGGTGGAGGTGTGGGGTTCAAAGCCCTCTGGGAGGAGATCCTGGTTTCATGATGGATTTGGAGCCAGAAGCCCTAATGGAACCGAACAATTATCCTGCGGCTGCTATCTCAATGCTGTGGTGTTCCTACAACAATGTGCCTGGCTTTATGCTCTTCTTGGCGCTGACCCACTGCCTGCAGCAGCAAGGCTTTCCCAGGAAGCCCCTGTTATTTGTGCATCTGACAGTTTATAGCACAGCACACCAACTGAGGTTTAGAAAGGAAAAGAAAAAAGAAGTGAAGAGTGAGAAGGACAAAACAGAGGCTTCCCACATTCTGGGGGCAACTGAAAAGCAGAATCTTTTTTGGCCCTCAGCAAAACAGGTCAGACTCTACAGAAAAGTCATCCTCAGGCATAGCTGCAGCTTGCGTGGACAGTGGGCATCAGACACAAAGATTCAGAATGAGAATATGCACCTTCTAAACCCCCCAGTGGGAGTACTCATTTGGAGCATCTTCTCTGGCCTCCCCAAGAATACCCCTTCAGTTGCCACCATGGGCTGTCCCAAGCCACCAAGTACACACAGCACAGAATGGGATGAGACGGAGTGTCTGTGTTCTGTCAGGGCTGGGCATTCCAGATAAATTCATTCCCTTCTGGGAAAAAGAAAAGCCTTGTTCCGAGCATAATGTTCCCAGGTCTCAGCTTACCTTGACGCATTTTTGATACACCTGTTGGGATCATTAGCTCTGCCAAGAGAAGAGTAGTGGCATACTTTGTCCTCTTTTTTACTCTTGGTGGACTGTGTTTCCATGGTGTTGGTTTCCCTTACAGAAACTAACACAAACAAGAGAGAAAGTGATAGGATTCCCTGCTGCTTGGCAGGGATGCAAAACATGCACAGAAATATATACAGGGATAATATGCATAAACTAGGAATTTAAGGGTAACATACAACAGAAGGAGAAGAGCTACTTAGCAGGATGAGATAAAGGTGAAAAGGCATCTAGAATGAGTAAGTTGAACCCCAACTGCAGCTCTGAGTTTCCTGGCCACCAAGGTAAACACCATAAGCACACTGAATCATATACTTACTATTGTTCTCTAGGAGGAATTAACGGGGTGGAATTAAGTAAGGGATACTGAAAAACCTAACGAACAATATCCTTCACTGTCATTTTGAAAAAGGCTCAAAAGCATTTTTAGAAATGTTTCTTTTGTTGGTTTTTGGAGCACACTGGTACTTTACCCTTCTCTCCCTGCCTACAGCCCAGGCTGTGCCGAGACATGCTTGCAGCTATGAAAGTGGTTCATGTGATCCCTCTAGACTTTCCCTCCAACCCTCTGCTTTGAATCAACCTCTCTAATTTCTCTGGTCTCCATTTGGGGGTTCCATTCCAGATTTCTTCAGCTCCATCCAACACTTTCAGACTCACAGCCCTTTAACCTGTCTGTGGGGCTTAGAGATCATTGCCAAGAGCCAACTCTCATGACTTGCCTAGGCTTTTTGTTGTTGTTGTTGTTGCTGTTTTAATTGAGGTTTCATTGATGTACAATTTTATAAAGTTTTTACATGAGCAACATTGCAGTTTCACCATTCACCCATATTATCAAGTCCTCCACTACACCCCATTGCAATCACTGTCCATCAGTGTAGTAAGATGCTATAGAGTCACTATTTCTCTTCTTGATGCTGTACTGCCAACCCCATGACCTACCTATATTGTGACTGCTAAATATAATGCCCTTAATCCCCTTCTCCCTCCCCACTGCTTTCCCTTTGGCAACTGCTAGTCCCTTCTTGGAGTCTGTGAGTCTGCTGCTGTTTTGTCCCTTCAGTTTTGCTTTGTTGTTATGCTCCACAAATGAGGGAAATCAGTTGGTATTTGCCTTTCTCCACCTGACTTCGTTCACTGAGCATAATATCCTCTAGCTCCATCCATGTTGTTGCAAATGGTAGGATTTGTTTTCTTCTTATGGCTGAATAATTTTCCATTGTGTATATATGTCACATCTTCTTTATCCATTCATTTACTGATGGACATTTAGGTTGCGTCCATATCTTAGCTATTGTAAACAGTGCTGCAGTAAACATAGGGGTGCATGTCTTTTTGAATCTGTGATTTTGTTTTCTTTGGGTAAATTCCTAGGAGTAGAATTCCTGGGTCAAATGGTTTTTCTTTCTTTCTTTTTTTTAAGGAACCTCCATATTGCTCTACACAATGACTGAACCAATTTACATTCCCACCAACAGTGTAGGAGAGTTCCCCTTTCTCCACATCCTCTCCAGCATTTGTTGTTCCTTGTTTTTTGGATTCAGAGCATCCTAACTTGTGTGAGGTGATATCTCTTTGTGGTTTTAATTTGCATTTCCCTGATAATTAGTGATGTGGAGCATCTTTTCATGGGCCTGTTGGCCATCTGAATTTCTTCATTCAGAAAGTGTCTGTTCAGATCCTCCACCCACTTTTTAATAGGGTTATTTGTTTTTTGGGTGTTGAGGTGTGTGAGCTCTTTATGTATTTTGGAAGTTAACCTCTTGTCGGATAAGTTGTTTATGAATATATTCTCCCATACTGCAGGATGCCTTTTTATTCTGCTGCTGATGTCCTTTGCTGTACAGAAGATTTTTAGCTTGGTGTAGTCCCAATTCATTCATTTTTGCTTTGGTTTCCCTTGTCCGAGGAGACACGTTCAGGAAAAAAATTGCTCATCTTAACATTCTAGAGGTTTTTACCTATGTTTTCTTTTGTGTATTTTATGGTTTCATGAGTTACATTCAGGTCTTTGATCCATTTCAAATTTACTTTTGTGTATTGTTTTAGATAATAATCCAGTTTCATTCTCCCACATGTAGCTCTCCAGTTTTGTCAACACCAGTTGTTGAAGAGGCTGTCATTTTCCTATTGTATAATCATGGCTCTTTTATTGTATACTAATTGACCATACATCTGGGCTCTTATTCTGTTCCATTATCTATGGGTCTGCTCAAGTGCTACTACCAAATTGTTTTGATTACTGTGGCTTTGTAGTAGAGCTTGAAGTTAGGGAGTGTAATACCCCCAGCTTTGTTCTTTCTTCTCAGGATTGCTTTGGCTATTTGGGGTCTTAGGTGGTTCCACATGAATTTGAGAACTACTTGTTCTAGTTTGTTGAAGAATGCTGTTGGTGTTTTGATAGGGATTGCATTGAATCTGTAGATTGCTTTAGGAAGGATGGCCATTTTGACAATATTAATTCTTCCTATACATGAGCATGGGATGTATTTCCATTTATTGGTGTCTTCTTTAATTTCTCTCATAAGAGTCTTGTAGTTTTTAGTGTATGGGTCTTTCACCTCCTTGGTTAGGTTTATTCCTAACTACTTTATTCATTTGGATGCAGTAAATGAAACTGTTTTCCTGATTTCTCTTTCTGCTAGTTCATCGTTAGTATATAGGAATGCAACAGATTTCTGTGTATTAATTTAGTATCCTGCAAGTTTGCTGAATTCAGTTATTAGTTCTGGTCATTTTGGGGTGGATTCTTTAGGGCTTTTTATGTACAATATCCTGTCATCTGCAAACAGTGACAGTTTAACTTCTTCCTTACCAATCTTGGATGCCTTTTCTCTCTTTGTGTTGTCTGATTGCCATGGCTAGGACCTCCAGTACTATGTTGAATAAAAATGAGGAAACTGGGCATCCTTGTCTTGTTCCCAATCTTAGAAGAAAAGGTTTCAGCTTTTCACTGTTAAGTATGATGTTGGCTGTGGGTTTGTTGTATTTGGCCTTTGTTATGTTGAGGTATTTGCCCTCTATACCCATTTTGTTGAGAGTTTTTATCATGAAAGGATGTTGAATTTTGTCAAATGCTTTTCAGCATCTATTGATATGATCATGTGATTTTTGTCTTTCTTTTTGTTGATGAGGTGTATGATGTTTATGGATTTTTCAATATGGTACCATCCTTGCATCCCTGGAATAAATCCCACTTGATCATGATGGATGATCTTTTTGATGTATTTTTGAATTTGATTTGCTATATTTTGTTGAAGACTTTTACATCTATGTTCATCAGGGATACTCATCTGTAATTTTCTTTTTTTGTAGGGTCTTTGCCTGGTTTTTGTATTAGAGTGATGTTGGCCTCATAGAATGAGACTAGATGTATTCCCTCCTCTTTTATTTTTTGGAAAACTTTAAGGAGGATAGGTGTTAGGTCTTCAAATGTTTGACAGAATTCAGTGGTGAAGCCATCTGGTACAGGGATTTCTTCTTAGGTAGTTTTTTTGTTACCAATTCAATTTCTGGTAACTGTTCCATTCAAATTTTATGTTTCTTCCTGGGTCAGGCTTGGAAGGTTGTATTTTTCTAGAAAGTTGTATATTTCTTCTAGATTATCCAATTTGTTGGCATATAATTTTTCATAGTACTGTGTAATAATTTGTATTTCTGTGGTGTCCATAGTGACTTTTCCTTTCTCTTTTCTGATTCTGTTTATGTGTGTAGATTCTATTTTTTTCTTGGTAAGTCTGGCTGGGGGTTTGTTTATTTATTTAGTTTATTTTCTCAAAGAACCAGCTCCTGGTTTCATTGATTCTTTCTATTGTTTTATTCTTCTCAATTTTATTTATTTCTGCTCTGATCTTTATTATGTGCTTCCTTCTACTGATGCTGAGCCTCCTTTGTTCTTCTTTTTCTAGTTTCATTAATTGTGAGTTTAGACTATTCATTTGGGATTGTTTTTCTTTCTTGAGGTAAGTCTGTACTGCAACGGACTTTCCTCTTAGAACTACCTTCACTGCATCCCACAGGTTTTGGGATGTTGAGTTGTTGTTTTCATTTGTCTCCATATATTGCTTGATATCATTTTATTTGGTCATTGATCCATTGATTGTTTAGGAGCATGTTGTTAAGCCTCCATGTGTTTGTGGGATTTTTGTTTTCTTTGCATAATTTATTTCTAGTTTCATACATTTTTGGTCTGAGAAGCTGGTTGGTACAGTTTCAATCCTTCTGAATTTACTGAGGCTCTTTTTGTGGCCTAGTCTGTGATCTATTCTGGAAAATGTTCCATGTACACTTGTGAAGAATGTGTATCCTGCTGCTTTTGGGTGGAGTGTTCTGTAGATATGTTAGGTCTATCTGTTCTAATGCATCATTCAGTGCTTCTTTTTCCTTATTATTTTCTATCTGGCTGATCTGCCCTTTGGAGTGAGAGGTGTGTTGAAGTCCTCTAAAATGAATGTGTTGCATTCTATTTCCCCCTTCAATTCTGTTAGTATTCATTTCACATATTTAGGTGCTCCTATGTTGTGTGCGTATTTATAATGGTTATATCCTATTGTTGGACTGATTCCTTTATCATTATCTAATGTCCTTCTTTGTCTCAACATCCATTTTGTCTGATGTAAGTACTGCTACTTGTTTTTTTCTCCCTATTCTTTGCATGAAATATCTTTTTCCATCCATTCACTTTTAGTCTGTATAAGTCTTTGGGTTTGAAATGAGTCTCTTGTAGACAGCATATAGACAGGTGTTGTTTTTTATCCATTCTGTAACTCTCTGTCTTTTGATTGGTACATTTGTTCCATTTATATTTAGGGTGATTATTGATATGTACCTACTGTCATTGCAGGCTTTAGATTCATGGTTACCAAAGGTTCAAGGGCAGCTTCCATAGTATCTAACAATCTAACTTACCTCTCTTGTTATGCTCCTTCAAGCACAATATAAAAGTTCTTTTTTTCTCTCCCTTCTTCTTCCTCCTTCACTCTTTACATACTAGGTACCATATTCTGAACTCTCTGTGTATCCCTTGACTAACTTTGTGAGTAGTTGATTTAATTTTGCATTAGCTTAGTAATTAATTGGTGTACTTCCTTTATTGTGGTTTTATTTCTCTGGTGACAGGTATTTAGCCTTAAGAGCACTTCCAGCTACAGCAGTCCCTTTGAAATACACTGTAGAGATGGTTTGTGGGAGGTAAATTTCCTCAACCTTTGCCTGTCTAGAAATTGTTAATCCCTGCTTCAAGTTTAAAAGTTAATCTTGCTGAGTAGAGTATTCTTGGTTTGATGCCCTTCTGTTTCATTGCATTAACTATATCATGCCACTCCCTTCTGGCCTGTAAGGTTTCTGCTGAGAAATCTGCTGATAACCTGATGGGCTTTCCCTATATGTAATATTTTTTCTCTCTCTGGCTGCTTTTAATACTCTCTCCTTGCTCAATCTTTGCCATTTTAATTATTATATGTCTTGGTTGTCTTTCCAGGGTCCCTTGTGTTTGGAGTTCTGTACACTTCCATGATCTGAGAGACTATCTCCTTTCCCAGATTGGCGAAGTTTTCAGCAATTATTTTCTCAAATAGACTTTCTATCCATTTTCCTCTGTTCTTCTTCTTCTTCTGGTACCCCTATAATGCAAATATTTGTTCCGTTTGGATTGGTCTCTTATTATTCTTTCTTTCCTATAGATTCATTTTTCTCTCTGTGCTTCAGCTTCTTAGATTTCCTGTTCTCTAATTTCTGTTCACTTACTGTCTCCTCCACCTCATCTAATCTACTTTTAAATCCCTTTATTGTGTGTTTCATTTCAGATACTGTAGTTTTCAAAGTTTCTCCTTCTTGAAGTCCTCCCTGAGATCTTGGATATTTTTCTGTAGCTATGTGAGCATGTTTATGATTTTTATTTTGAAATATTTATCAAGAAGATTGGTGATTTCAGTCTCACTTAGCCTTCTTTCTGGTGTTTGAGTTCTTGTTTGTATAGCATTTTTTTTTGCTGTTTCATTCTATTGATTCCTATGTAATAATAACTTTGTGTAGGCAGTGCCCAGAAGCTCTACTCTCTGGAGCTGCGGAGCACGTGGAGCAATGGTGGGGGCTGTAGATGAGTGGCACCAACAACTGCCAGGAGAAAAGAGCTCTTTCCTGCTTCCTGGCTGTAGTGCTTGCCTCCACTGCCAGGTCCAGTGGGCTGTGTTTGCAGGGGGCAGCCTCTGTGTTATGCCCCTGTAGCTACTGTAGGCAGGGGCCACCCTCCAGCTAGCAGGTGCAGCAGTTGTGCAGACAAGTACCTGCTGGGACGAAGGAGTGGCAGGCTGGGAATCACAGTGGCAGTCCTTGGGGCAGCACTGATAGCTATTTGGAATGGAGTGTCTGAAGCTCCTGAAAGTTCCCAACCTGCTGGGCTGAGAGAGCATGGACGATTTTTTCCACCTGCGCTTTTTCCTGAGCAGCGAGGTCTGTGTAGTCTTTGTCCCTTTAGTACCCCTCTTGCTTTTGGGAAGTCTTTCAAAGTGCCCACCTTTCTTTAGTCCCATAGTGTCCAGTTGTGGATACTGGTTCTCCACAAGCAGCTGTTATCTCCATCTCTCTGAGTTTTCTGCCTGTCTTTGCTTTCCAACTCCACTAATCTCCAGAGCACTATGTAATGCGGGTTTGTGCTCCCAGAGCAGATCTTCAGCGCTGGGTGTTTAGCAGTCCTGGGCTTCTACTCCCTCTCTGCTCCACTTCTCTTCCTCCTGCCTGTGAGCTGGGGCTGGGGGGAAGGACTTGGATCCCAGTGGACTCTGGCTTTGCTACTTTACCCTTTTCTGTGAGGTCTTCTCTTTTCCCCAGAAGTAGGCAGTCTGTTTTGCAGTCTCTTTCAGGATCAGTTGTATTTGCTGTGTTTTCATATTATGTTGTTTTGCGGGGAGGTTTCTGCCTCACTTCTCACACCACCATCTTTTTTTTTTCTGCCTTAGCTAGGTTTAATATTCTTTAAATCCTGCCTACACCACTCTACCTCCTGCCTGAGACTTAGGTTGCTTGGCTATGGTTCACGCTCAGAATGGGTTGCTGCATGAATTTAAATAAGGAATATTAAAAATGAGCCCTCAATAAAGATAAATAAAATCTTCACTCAGTAAAATAGTCTCATCATGGAGTTGAGTAAATATGCCCCAGGTATATTAATACTTGATTATTTAACTTCACAAGGATTTAGTACAAAGAGATTAGAGCAACAAACAGTTAACATGTACACTGATCCACATCTCTTGGGTGTCAAATGTCCCTAGGAAGTCTGATTAAGTGTGAGGAGGCAGTCTGTTCCCAGCTGCTCTATCTGGAAAGAGGCAGTAATGAAGATATTCTGAAATTTAAATTAAAGAGATACATTTCTGTTGTAGACATGGAAAGTGAGGTCTACTTTTCAGAAAGGACAGGTAAGAGGTGTGATTTGGACTCTTCCCCTGCTGGAGCACCCCTCTACTTGGACATTCAGGTAAGTTCAGGAGTACCTATGGGTGAAGCCAAAGCTTCCATCAGAAAAGGAGCTGTGAATCTGTTCAAGTTATCGCTGAAAGACTTGGCTGAGACCCCAGAATTCCTCTTCATCTAGTATAACAGAGATGATTTAGAACTAAAGGGTTTATTTCAGCTGTGTCAGTCAGCTACCTGGATCATAAAAGAAACTCACTTTGGTTCTTATGCAGTCCACATGCTGCTGGACTATAAATATGAGTTAACCACAAACTCTACTTCCAGGTAGTGGAGTGATAGCTTCATTGGACAATGCTATTTGATATGTGCACTTTAACATTGGGGCACTTCTGCTAACAGCTAAAGAATGTGGCTGATACTAAGCTATCAGGCAATAACTAGACTGTTGGTTCAGTTGCTTCTTGAGTTCTATTCCTCTTGCTAGGTAACGAAACCATGCTCTCAGCATAGAGGATGCTGCCTTCCTATTTCCTACAGCTGGAGGACATGTATTCAATTCATTAAAATATATTTTAAAATTTGAATTTCACCTGTGAAAAGAGGTTTTTTTTAAAAATTCTGATTTAGCAGTAGGATTATGATGCCAGCTGGAGGGCCTGAGGATCTATTCCCAGATTAGTTTTTTGTATGGCGATGTCTCCTTTGTATGAAATTCAAGACTGAGGAGAGAGAATACATGGATATTTGGGGTAGGACAGCACTCACTGTATTGCACAAGTTGAGAACTGGCCTCTTATGGGTCAAATGTAGCCTACAAATGTACTGTTTTCATATTTTCTTTAAGCTTGGATTAGTTACCAGCATATAGCACTCACTGTATTGCACAAGTTGAGAACTGGCCTCTTATGGGTCAAATGTAGCCTACAAATGTACTGTTTTCATATTTTCTTTAAGCTTGGATTAGTTACCAGCATATAAAAATTGAGATAGTCCATCTCTCTGTCCCTATTTCACACACAGACACACACAGACACACACACACACACACACACACACACACACACACACACACGCACACACACACACACACACATTTTCCTATAACTATAAAAAAATTGCACAAATATTTTCTTTTGAAAAGTCAGAAAATCCAGAAATACCAGCCCCAGATTCCCCTGGGGTCCTGCTGAGTAGAGCTAGGACAAGAGTTCTCCAGTTTACAAAGTGCCCTCTCCCTATTGTCTCACATTTATTTCACCTGCCTGGATCCTATAAGCATTTGAGTTATAATGACTGGATGGGGCCCATTTTATAGGATGACTAGAGTGAACAGGAGCAGCTCAGGATTAAGATGAGAGTTTAGGTCCTAACAGTACCATAGGAGATAGATATAAACTCTTAAAAATAGTCAACTTCTGATTGGTGGGTCTCAGAAGGAGCAAGAAAAGTCCTGGCCTGCATAGACTCTGTTCTAAGACACATCATACATGCTTCTCTCATGCCACCTTTAGGCCATTTGACTGAAGGAAAAAGGAAGCCCCAGAGTCCCGAAGATACTTTTGTTTGCTCTTGGGCGTGTACATATGTCCAGATATTTACTAGAAATAAAGGACAGTTAAGATGCTCTGGGAGTGGGCTCTGTGGCTAAACCAAGTGCTACAGGATATTGGTATTGCCCCCCAGAGTGACATGTGGCCTGAGGAGCCCAGTTCCTGCTCGTAGGCACTGTCGTCAGGGGACACAGAAGAGCTTCCACTGGAGGCCATAGTGTGAGCATGTCATTCTGTCCTGCTGAGTTCAAATCCAGTGTGTCTCCAGAGGATTTTTTCTTTTGTAGCTCTTATTCCTAAATGTTGTGCTACTTGAAAACCCAGAGTGTGGGCCCAGCAGGATGAGGGGGTGCCCTCACTTCTTCTTCTCCTTAAGTATTGTGTTCTAGGGGTTCCAGGCCCTGGCACCTGCATTGCTGCCTCCATGGATGGACTTGGCCATGCAACACAGTGATGAAAAAGCGAGGGTGTCACTGCATGTACAGAAGAAGAGCATCCTCAAGGCACAGGAAGGTGGACTTAGCCACAGCCTGGCACACTGATTCTGCTTTGGAGGCCAAACAGGCTCATTCACCAACCCCAGCCCCCAAGTTGGGAGACAGCCATGACACACCTGCTGTGCAAGCTATCCTCTTGGTCACTCACATTTGATGTGCCAGAGGTACCTTCTTACCTGAAGGGAAAATGCAAGAAGATGGGAAGGGACCTGCATGTTCCAGGTGAATAATCTCTGTTTTCCCAAATAGTATATCTTTTCCTGTTGGGACCTACATAAAGGCCTGGGTTTAAGTCATTAAAGGCTATACTTTCCTTCAGCCCACTTGGCAGATAAGAGCAAGATGTGCCAGAGGTACCTTCTTACCTGAAGGGAAAATGCAAGAAGATGGGAAGGGACCTGCATGTTCCAGGTGAATAATCTCTGTTTTCCCAAATAGTATATCTTTTCCTGTTGGGACCTACATAAAGGCCTGGGTTTAAGTCATTAAAGGCTATACTTTCCTTCAGCCCACTTGGCAGATAAGAGCAAGATTTTCTCCTACAAGAACACCATGAAGATCCCAAAGCAGAACCTGATATCAGATACATAATTTCTTCCAGTTCAACTAAAATCCATACAGGATAGATCTGAGTTACTAAATTCAGAGATCAAATCAGGTCTTGCTCATTTCAGGCATTTGGTGGCCAGCTCAGCCCCAAATTATACTTTCTAAATATATTTTGGGACTCAGCTAGGTTATGAGGCCCTGACACATGATAACATCAAAGCATTAAAAAAATTTTTTTCAGAGGCCAAATAAAACAGAAAACAGTTTCTTTAGATAGATCTTAAGAATGCCAAGGCTTAGAGGTGGATATAGATGTCCAATATACAATCTTGAAATCTGTCTTTTGTCTTCTCTCTTACTGTTCTTTTTTTTTTTTTTTTTTGGCTTGGGCAAGTTCTCAGGGGCAAGTTTATTTTTCTGATAATGTAGTTGAAGGGAGGGCCTCTTAAAATAGGAGCACTGGGTTTCTAGGGATGAAGGCTCACTGCCGGCCTGGGGCGGTCACAACCTCCACCTCGTTACCATCGTGGCCTCTGCCTGAGAGTCCCCTCTCCCTCTGTCTGCCATACCTCCCCTTTCCAGTGCTTTGTTCTTCTCCCTACCACATTGGTGCCTATTTTTTCTGGAAAACTACACTTAAGGTACTGTTTCTCAAACTTCAGTCCATGTTTAGGCCCCTGAGTTCAGATTCAAGGTGTCCGGGGTGGGGCCCATGCATCTGTGTATTTAGCAAGCACCCAGCTATTGTGACATGCAATTTGCACACAAGCTCTGTGCTAACATGGCAGTAAAATGACTCCCTAGCCCTAGTCCTCATCTCCCCTGACTCTCAGCAGCACTGGACAGTCCAACATCCCTTCCTGAGAATTTCCCTTAATCCTCTCTCACATTACTCGCTGCTCCTTGTTGGTCTTCTTTGCTGGTGCCTCTTCATGGAACTGACCCTGGAACTTGACAGTGGCTTTGGGTCCAGCCCTGTGACACACCTTCACTCTCCAGGGCGTATCACCTAGTTCTGGGTTTTGAACACCATCCTCCAGTGGTGAACTGGTAAATACTGAATTACCGACTCTCGAGGAAAAAAAGTGCCCTGATTTGTAAAGTTTGCCAGTTTCCATAGTGTAATTTCTCTCACCATGGCCCCTTTCAAACTACCCACATGTTATCACTGAACATGGAGTTGCGAAGAGGTGCATAACAGTGGGTTCTGTGAGCCTGGATAATCTGATACACACCCATTCACAGCTGCAGTCCAGACCTCTCCCAGAAACACAAACCTGTATTTCTAAGATCTTCCACTAGAGGTTTTCACCACCATGTCAGGCTGAACACATCCAAATGGATCTCCTGCCACCACCACCATCTAGGGCCTACTGCCCTTCCCATCTGAGTGCCAGCCCCAGCCCACAGCTGCCCCAGCTCACTCTTGACTCCTCTCTCCTTGCTCACACCCTGACTCAATCCATCAGCTCTACCTCCTAGATAAATCCAGAATCCATTCACTTCTCATTTCTCACCCCCTCCGAAGTATCATCTAGTCTAAACACCACCATCTCTTATCAGGAAATTACATTAATGAGTCACCCTGCTGCCACCCATTTCTCCATCAGCATAGCAGCCACTGTGACTCCTTGGAAACACGATATCCTTCTGTCCCAAACCTCTGGTCGTCCTCTGTTTCATACAGAGCAAAGGTCCCAGGTCCTGACCTTGGGCCCGCAGCCCGCTGTCCCCTGGGCTCCTTCCCAAGTGCCGCTCCTTCCACGGACCCCATGCCCTAGCTGTGCTTCGGCTCCTGCCGCCCCTGCTAGTCCTCAAACCCAGGAAGTATGCTCTTGCTTCACGCCTTTCGTGTTCACAGTTCCCTCTGCCTGGTGTGTTCCTTCCCCACATGGCAGCATGGCCTGTGTCTCCTCAGACATCACCTTAACTGAGAGCCACATTACATAAAAATGCAGCTCACTGCTTCTTCCCTTACTTCTTATCCTGCTATACTTTCCCTAAGAGGTCTTAGCACCACTTCACAGGGACGCAGAGATTTTGCTATGCCACGAGGGCCTAGAGCATTGCCTGGGATGTAATAGGTATTAAGTAAAAATCTGTGGGATTAACAAATAGGGTGGTAGGTCCCAGATGTTACATTCCTTAGGGTATATATATCCTGAGACTAATTTTGTTTGGTTGAACTTGGTCCACATTTTCTAGAAATGATCCATATACTTCTAAGCCTTACTGGATTTCCTGATTAATCTTCCAATAGAGGTATTGGAAGGACCATTTGGAAGCAAACTATCCACATGGAAATGTGACCTTGGCATTTTTGAGAAAAGTCAGCAAGCAGTGGAGGAAAATGATCACAGGCATATTTATGGACTCAAAATACTCATAGACAGATGCTCACTGGGAAGAAAAGGATTGCTCTAATTGTATAGCAGGATTCCAAGAATCTTTTCATGAGCAAGTTCTCTACCAAAAAGATCTAGCATCCTAACATAAGTCACTTGTGATGACTGATAATGACACAAATATTCATCTGCACAAGAAAAGCAGGCATTTCGCGGCACTAACATTTGGGTGACAATTCTATTTGACGTGAGGTTTGAGTTTATGACCATGAAGAGATTCTTTTTATTCATCTATCCACATTTATTCAATAAATGTTTAGTTGCCCTATATATGTGTTAGGCAATATTCGAGGCTCTGGGGGTTAGCAGAAAAAAGGACCGAGTTCTTTGAAGCATTTAGTTATTGAGTGACAAGAAAAAACAAGGGAAAAGTGAAAAATCCCCACAGATGTGGTTCATCCATCCCAGGTTAGAATACAAAGCTCCATGGCCATAGCTTCTCCTATATTGTATATGCCTGAGATAATACTGTTCTCTGAGATGCACCAATATATCCACATAAATAGAAGTGGATTGTTTTCAACTATGTGTTCAAAGAAACCCATGTTATACAGGTGGAGAGCATTCACTCTGCTGGAGCAATTTCTAAGAGATCTTTTTTCAAGATACCTATAGCAAGTGTTCTGAGAATACACGATTCACTTTGTGGGTGGAGTGGCTGCGTGGCAGGCTGAACACCTTGGGAGGGGCTGTGCTCGTGCTCCAGTGACCTGGGCGGGAGCAGCTGGGTTGCGTGTTTCTGATCTCAAAGTGCCTGGAAGTCCTGAATGAAACTAGCCTCTGTGAGTTCAGAAGTATCCATGTTTATGTGGGGTAAATGCAAGTTTTCACCCAGAATTTCCCACCTGGCCTTAGTCCACGTACATAGCAATGGATGTTTACCACAGCAGAGCCTCTGGTTGATCCCGGGCAAGGGGTGGAGGGAAAACGGCCATTCTCTCCTCCCCTCCATTCCTGGCACCTAATTGGTCTGGTGCCTGTTAGTGACCAGGGACCCACCCATGGTGTTCTTGCAGGAAGGGGTGGGCAGGGGGAGCAGGGCACACATGCCGTGACTGGAGGGGACTGACAGCGCGGAGCCTGACTAGCAAACAGGAGCAAGCTGTGAGAAATAACCCCCCTTAACCCACCTGTCCTTCCCCTTGTCTTACTTTGGTTTCAGCAGATTCATATGGAACTTGTCCTAGGAGGAGAAAACCCTTCCCGGCTCAAGCTACAGTTAAATCATCCACAGTGTGGCCCCAAAGTGCTGGGCACTGCACAGGATGTCCCAGGAATACAGACCCAACTCTCAAAAAGCTTCAGTGCTTTTTCTCCTATTAAGAATGATACTTTTGATGAAAAATCCAAGACAACCAACTCATCTATTTCTTTTTCATGTGAAAACACCAGAAAGCACAGGAACCAGATCATTTCCTTAAGCTAGCATCTTGCCCAAAAGATCTGTCTTGACAATACTCTTTCTTACCTTGGGTCAGTGTTTCTAAATGTGGCTGCACCTTAAAATCACTTGGGGGCTTAGAATCTGATGTCGAGATCCCCTCCCCCAGAGATGTTGATGTATGCTGGTCTGGGGGACAGCCTGGCACTGGGATTTTTAAAGCTCCTCAGGTTCTTCTACTGTGAAACTAAGGTTGAAATGCACTGCTTTGGGATGAGTCCTGGCATCTGATCCACAAGTCAGTGAAAATCCTAAGAAGTCAGGACTTGGGGACACATAGTCTAAAAGAGAGGAACCATTGCCTGGTTTTGTGCTCAGCTGGATAGCTGCCATCTGGTGCAGGATGGCAAAGCCCTGGGGGTTCTGACCATTTGAATAGAAGTTTCCAGTCCTGCTTTGCACACTAGCCTGGGGAATGAAAACTCTTGAGTGGCACCAGAAGCAATAGCCTTTCCACTATGCAATCTCATTGGCCAAGTTGGGAAGTCAGTGGTTTAACTTGACATAAACTACTGTAAGAAATAAATGTCAGTTCACCAAGTTTGGGTCATTTAAAGTTGCATGGGACTAACCATCATGGGGAAAATGGCCTTTGACATTCACCCAGAATTTCCTGCCTGGCCTTAGTCCATTTACGTACCAATGGATGTTTATGAACCAGAAGACTGGAGTCCCTGATGGTCCATATTCTTTTCTCCAGAGAGGTGTCTATTTATAGAAGGAACAAACCCTGTGCAGGATGAGGGGGTTGGATAATAATATGTGTGAACACACTGATCTGTCTGAACAGTTTCTTGGCTGTCTGCTTTCAATGGTAATAAATATCCACTAAAAGCTGTCTGCTGCATGTGTTTTGGTAAAGTCTCACACTTCCCTGAATGAATACATTCAGAATGTAAGCACCACACACTTGACTATAGAGACTCTGTTGTATCCTGAATTCTTAAGTTATGCAGCTTAGCAGCTGTGATAATGTAATGGTTTGCAAAATAATAGACTGGCAATATGTCAACCTGAAATAACACATCAAATAATGAATAATGTGGGTGTAAAAAGGTTTAATTTATACTGTGTTAAAAATACTGCTCCAGAAATATCACACCATTTTGGTCTTTCCAAGACAAAAAAAAACCCCTTTCACTTCAATATTCAAATAATGATTGTAAAAGAGAATTCCTTCTTGTTTCTTTTTTTCCCCTAACAAAAATGTCAAATTTATGTTACTCTGTGAAGAGCCATATAATGTGAGTCTGGTCAGTTATTCACAAACACATTTTGTTCTACTTTAAGATATACAGTCTGATCTTAGAGTTCATAATAAATAGGAGAAGAGTATTTGTCTACTCAGTTTGTATTAATATTTAAGAGTGAACACATTTTCCACTGGCAATAATGGGACTTGGGGAAATTTAACACGAGAAGTGAGGCCGTTTCTGTTTATATCTTAATTCTGATCCTCTTCCCAAATTTTATCACTGAGGGAAGCCTTTGAGAAGTTTAAGCTTTCTCTCATTCATCTAGCAAATATTTATTACACTCCTGTTATGAACCAGGGACCAAGATGTGTTTCTTGCCCTCAAGAAGCTTGTTAGCATACAGAGAACTGACATGATAGAGACTAGGGGAGTCAAAGTGAGATCTGTGCTATTGTAAGGGAAATGCAGAGTGCTAGAGGTTCCCAAAGGAAGAGCACTTACTCATACTTGGGGAGGCGACAGGGCATCTGGAAAGGCTTCCCACAGGATGTTACTCTAAGGCTGAAGGAAATGGAGGGAGGCAGCAATGAGTGTGGGGCAGACAAAAGCACATGCAAAGGCCCTGAGGCGAGGGAGAGAACAGCAGTGTGGGCAATTGCGGCCATGTTCAGTAAGGTTGGAATCTAACATGCCTGGGAAAGCCGAGGCCGGAGAGGGTAGCGGGGCCCTGATTTTGAAGGGCCTGTAATCACATTTAAACATTATTACTTCTCTTGAGTCAGGGAACCACATAAGGGTTTTGAGTAGATCGATGACACGGTCACATCTGTTTTAGATCACACTGGCTACAACATGCAGCAAGACTGGGGAATGGGGCAAAGAATGGCAACTTCAAAAGTGAAAGATGGTGGTGGCCTGCATCACAGAATGGGAAGGAGCAGCTGGGAGTGTCAGACATTCTGAAGCCAGAACTCAGCATGCAGTGACCCATTAGATGGGAGGCCAGACATGGCAGAGGCAGGGGAGATGCCTGGGCTCTGATCTTGATGTCCAGATAGCTGGTGCTGTTAGAGAAGGAGCAGGACTGTGGGCAGGATGGCGAGTTCTTTTTAGGATACGTTGAATTTGAACAAGAACTCAGATGGGTCCTCCAGCCTGCATGAATGTCTCTGTAGTGAAGACCTGATGGAAGCCTAGGTGGCATTGTTAAAAAGGTGCATTTCTTTTGTTTCAACTCAACTTCTGTGCATTTGGGAAGCAGGAGCACTTGTGTAATCCTAGACACCTAAGGCACATGACTGAGCACCCAGAAATGACTAGCTGCTCTCCTTGGCTGCCAGCCTTCTGTCCTTGGTGAGGCTTCTTTGTCTCCTCTGTGTGAGTGCTGGTGACAGGTCGGTATAACCCTTTCTCTGGGCCAGGCTGCAAAAGGTGAGGGGCTATGGGCTCAGTGACTTAGATACAAGACACCAGGTTTCAGGGCTCAGTTCTGCTCTCGCTGACAATGACCCTGAGCAGAAGAGTGAATGTCCCGGCCTTGGTTTTCCCTGCTCATATATGACAAGGGTGATAACCCCGTTTTCTGTGTCACTGCAATTCCCGGTGGGAAAGTGATTAATGAATATGAAAGTGCACTAGAATCAAGACATTATAGAAAGGCGAGGTCTTACCATCACTCGAGACAATAGAAACCAACTCGAATATCAGTTACCCTGTGGGCCACTGATGCAACTGAAAACACTGCAGTTGCCCTCAGTTCAGGCAGCTCCAAGGAGAGTGTGATATTCCGAGTCTGCCTGAAAGCAGATGTTCTTTCCCACCCTGCCTGCCTCCTTTTATGTAAATGTATGGCTCTGATTCTGAAAATTGTCATAAATCAGTATGAACATCCAACTGGAATCAACAGGACATTGTCTATTCCAATGAGTTGCTCTCTCCTTTCCAGTGGGGTTGACACGGCAGGCCCAGCAGGAATGCAAGGGCACCCTTCTTGTGAGAGATGATGCCAGCCTCACCAGCAGCAATTAATAGGATGGCTGATGCCCCAGCGGTGGGCTCACTCCCCTTGAGGGCCTAGAGACTTTCAGATCAGACTCCTAAGACCATGTAGCACTGGTGTGTCCAAGGACAGAAAACAGGCCTGTGTGATTTCAGTATAAGTATATGCCAAATGGCAACAGATGTGTTGTATATATGACACGATGTTCATACATTTTCAGCTTTTCTTAAGTTGGTAAAGAATGAATAATAGAAATGGTAACTGCATACATCTGGATTTATTAAACATATTTGATTTATTGAACATCCATCTGGAGATGATAATGGTTAGAGGTTACCTGGTTACTATGGAATTTCTGTGCCTATACACAGGCTAACACTCTCCTTAGTATTGTCATATACAACTCCAGTGTGTGCAGCTCACATTTCTAAGTATTTGTGAACAGAATGCATTATATAAACTTAGTTACCATAAAAGTCAAACATTTTTCACCAGAACCTAAAACCGCATTCAATGTAAGCCTAATAAATGTGTGACTTTTGCTAGAAATATTGGTCCTATGCTCTAAAGCTACTGGTATAAAAGGGGGCATGCAGGAGTCACTCAATATATATTAGTTGATGAGCATGATATTGAGTACAAGAATTATTTCTCAAAATAAAGACCTATGCACAACCAGAATGGGAAGTGAAATTATTTTCATTATTACCCAAATGGCAGAAAAAGTGTAACTCATCAAGAGTCAGGAAATCAACTCCACTTGGAGTCTAAATAGCCCCTCATATTTTTTAAGCTTTAATTATGTTTTCTGTAAATTTAAAAATCACTGAGTAGAAGTATACACAGCAGAAACAGTCACTTGAATTAAACTCCATTCCCCTTAATAGGATGTGGTAGGCTGCTTATCTATCCAGAGGGCCTCTGTGGTGCTATTTGCCTTATTGGTCTTGTATTACACCTTCACCCCAGATGCCTAAGTAGGTGTCCACAGCTCAGCTCACACAGAGGGCCTGCCATGATTCAAATGAGGGCTTTTGGGGTTTCTGAGACCCACAAACCCTTCTATCCCTGCAGGAGTGTGGAGATGTTGTCCCCACACCAATGAGCCCATTATCCAAGGACAATGAGTTTGAATTAACCACAGTCATCCCCAAAACTGCAGGAGTCACTCCAGAAAAGGACAAGTCCTTATTGTTGTTTTCAGGATTGTCTCTGCCAGGGGTTACCATAAAGGAAGCATGTTTCAGAGAATGAACAGAGTAATTTTGAGCAGAAACCTACTAAAAAAACCCCCCAAATGATAGCAAGGTATCTGAAATAACAATACAACGGCAGAGGGTATTGTAATCAACCAGGTGCTAATTTAAACCCTCAAAGCACTGAAGTTCTCTAATATCATTGCCACCTTTTTTGAAGACACTGTCACCCAGCACAGGAAATTTGCAGCCCTGCTGCACTAACAGATCTGTTTTGCAGCCCTGGTGCTTTCCTTGACAGACACTCACATCTGCCATACCCATTCCCAAGGGCAGTCCCCACCCTACCTTTCCCCATATTTCCTCTCTAATAGCCCCTACCACATGCACAGCTGACAAAAATTTCTGCTTCCAGTTTCTCATTATCTGTTAAGAAAAAATTACATTTGACATTGTACACTACAGTCCCAGGAATTTGAATTTTTCAGGAAAATAGGACTACCGAAAGGAATGCTATGTACAATGAAAACAAACATCCCCCTTTCTAAGTAGCAACTGTTCCATGGAAAATAAACAGCCCGCCACGTTGCTTACCCTCTCCACGCTGCGTCTTCTCAGAGATCCATAAGGAATTTTCAGTAAAAGTCTTTGGGATCTATTCGGAGCCACTGCAGCCTGAACCACCATGGTGTAGAGCTGTGTGTGCGTACGTGTGAGCGTGTGAGCGTGTGAGTGTGTGTGTGTGTGTGTGTGTGTGTGTGTGTGTTCCCAGCAAAAGGAGAGACGGAGGCTTCCTCAAAACCAAGTTATGGTCTCTTGGAGGTTTCCCAAATATCAAATAACTGAAAGAGTTTTTCTTTCGACCAAATGAGTCAAGATGTGGTTTGTCGGAAGGTGGGGGGATGGGAAAGAAGAAAAATAGCCCAAGTTCTGCAACTTGAGCGTGCCTTTGGCAGCACAGCTTTGAGCCCTCCTGTCTGTCCGATGTGTCTCAGTCCCTCAGTGAGATTGCGTGTCCTAGAGCGGGCAGGCGACTCTTCGGGGGAGAGTGATCCAGAAATGTCAACTTTGCTTCTCGTGGCTGCACATGGTAACCAGGTCAGTTGTCTAATCAAAGCTCTATCAGACGAATTATTCATTCCATCACGTGACTCCAAAGCCCCTCGGCTGTACAGTAGGTCACATGCTCACCTTAAAAAGACTATTTGGAATATCACCATCTGGTGCAGAGATTAATGTGAAATCCTGCATTCTGATTTTACTCTCTCCAGAACACAGGAAAAATATTTGCAGACCAGTGACATAAGGCACTGGGGACTTGGTGTGGGTTTGTGTGGGGGCATCCCTCTTCACAGTCATCAATTATATGTATGACCCTGAGAGTCAGACATGCTTATCTGTTTTTTTCCCTCCTGCTTTCTAATGCATCAAAAACAAATGTAGGCATATGATTAATTATATATGTGAATGTAGTCCACAAAGATGAAGCATGAGAGAAGGAAAAACATGTTTGCACCACTTGGTTCAGATGAAATCAAATCAAATATACCAGACAGACGTGCACTTGCAACCTCCTCATTTAAATGTTTGTGTTATAGAACATTTATTTTTATGTGTGCCAGTAAACATGAAGATGTTATGTTTGATTTTATGAGGCTCTGTAAAAGGACTATCTAAGCTCAGATTCAACCATGGCATCAGCCTATTTTCTAATCATATTGTAAAATTCCAGATCAAACAACCCTCTCTGACAGACCATACACAAGGTCTAAAATGATAACTTTTCTGTAATGTCTTGTAACAGACACATTGTTCACTTATGCTCCCCCACATCTGTACTCCTCCTGAAA